GGGGTGGGAAGAATAAGAATTCATACTCGACATTTAACGTCTTACAAATTTTTTTCGGACCAAGCATCCTGAGTGATTAAGTTTAATTATCGACTAGTTATGCTTCGTCTAACTATTAAATCTGAAACGTGTATGCGTAGGTAGCTAGAGAACACATGGCGAAGTAAGACTGGTCGCCTTGCACCGTTTCATAAAGTCTCGGGTCTCGGGTCTCGGTTTAATAAGGCGTAAGTGCCGGACCTACAAGTCGCTAGGATGTTTAATGTTATTTGGTGGAGATGTTACTTAAAAAAGCGATGTATTAAAACACTCGAAATATTATGGCAAGGTATAATTGTAAACATGTCTCGTGATTTTAAAAAGGCTTTTATTATTTAAAATTATTTGTTTAAACATTATTTCAGTAAATTTAAACCATAAATTCGAGATTGTTTATAAAGTTATACTTTTTTTAATTATATTTTTTTTAATTAATTAAACCTTAAAATAACTTTTTAAAATAATTTTAAATTTATGGTTTAAAATAACTTTAAAATTTTATATATTAAAAATATATGTTTAATATTTTAAAATAATAATATTAATAATAATATTAATAATATTATTAAAATAATAATATGTTGTATAAACAAAGTTTATAATTAACGTTATAAATAGTTTTTAATTAATTAATAAAGTGGTTAACTTTAATATAAGTTGTTTGTTATTTATAAAAGTTATATATATATATAATAAATAGTTATTTCTTTAAATTAATTTAAGCTTTTATTTTACTTAATCGGTTTTAATTAATATTTGTTTAATAGTTATAAGTCTTGGTTTATGTTTAAAGTAATTACCATATTAAACACTTGGATTATTATATTAAAATTGATTATTTTCTTTTTATAATTTTATATATTTATTTATTTTATTTTTATTTTACGACGTTTAATATATCGTTTTTAATAGCTTTTAATATAATTATCCCAATTATTATTAAACTTAATGGTTGATAAAACTTTGTTAATTAATATATATAGTTTTATATGCATGTTAAATGGCGTGAGGCGTGGTTATATATTAACTTTAATGTACGAAATATGTTTTATATTATGATTTATTTGCCAGTTAAACCGACGATGGTTGTAATGGAGGAAAAAGTTAAGGTAACGGTTATAAGCCGTAAACGAAATCTTTTTATAAGTAATAAAATAAATAACTTATATAATAAAAAAAGAAAAAACTTTTTGGTAAAGCATTTATTTTAAATAACCAAGTTTATATATTATATTTAAATCTAGATTTAGATTAATTATACGGTTAATTTTAAGATTTTGTAATTTATTATAATAAAATTTAAAATAAGTTAATTAAATAAGCCATTATTAGTTTAAAAAGTTGTTTGTTTATTTTGTAAAAAACTAACGTTGTTTAAAAAAAGCGTTATTACCAGTATATGTTAAAAGTATAAAGTAATTATATTAACGGTTTAGTTTTAATTAAGTTTTAAAATATGGTATAAATAATAAAAACGCGTATATATTAAAGTTAAAGTTTATAACTTAATTAAAATTAAAAGGTAATTGTTTATATAAAAATTTTTTAAAGTTATAATTGTTAAAATAGTTTTAAAGTGGGCCCGGGCATAATTTGATTAAATAGTTAAAAATAAAGTATTAAATTACGCGTAATTTACGTTAAAAAATTACAGGAAATGGTTAATAGTTTTATTATATTAAAAGATAACGCCGTTAACGAATCCAAGGGTATTTATTACCGGAGTAAAAGGTGCGTTAAAATATATTTATCCGTATTTTAAAAAGTTAAAAAATAAATACGATTAGTTAATAAAGTATTATAAAAGGTTTAAATATGTTATTTACGGTATAAAACGATTTATAATTTTAATATATATTTAATTAAAAAAAGTGTAAGTTTATAAAAATACGTTTTAAATTTACGAAATGGCATAAATTACGTTAATAATTAAATAAAAAAAATAACCGTTATTTTAACTTGGTAATAATATAACCTCGAAAATAACAAAAGTAAAAGTATAAAATAAAGTTATTTTTAACATTTATTATTTACGCTTTACGTATTTATTTTTAACTTTATAAAAAAAGGTAAATTAATAATAATTAATTTATTTTTTACGGGTACATTTAACTTTATATGGAAAGGTAAATTAATAACGATTAATCCATTTTCGAAAAACATATATTTTATTTTAAAAGAAAAGTAAGTTAACAACGGTTAATTTATTTTTTACAAACATTATAATTTATTAAAAAAGGTAAGTTAACAACGGTTAACTTATACTTTATAAACGCACGGGTTAAATTAAATCGGATACCCATTTAAATATAATTCCTTTATAACCGCCGCTTTAATTAAAGGGTAACATACACATCTCTTTTGTAAATATATATAAAATTATAAATAACCACCACTTAAGTTAAAAGATGGTAATAAAATAAAAAAAATAACTTTATCAATTGTATAAAGTCTTTTAAAACGGTGATCTTAAAAAATTTAAGAGTATATTACACAAATAAAATTTATAACCAACGTTATAAATAACTTTTAACTAGCTAATAAAATAATTAACCTTGATATAAGTCGCTTGTCGTTTATAAAAGCCATACACATACACAATAAATAACTGTTTTTTTAAATCAATTTAAACCTTTATTTCACTTAATCGGTTTTAACCAATATCCGTTTAACATAATATTAATGCGTTTTTATAATAAATAATAATTAATTATATAATAATTATTAATTTTATTATTAAATTTATTAATTTAATTTATACGTTTTAAATTTTTTAAAATGTTAAATGGTTAATATTAATTATAATATTAATTATAATATCGGTTATAACATTAATTATAACGTTAATTATAATAATAACTGTAATAATAACCGTAATAAACGTTAAAGTTTAATATATAAAATTATATAAATATATAAAAAAAGTTAAAAAAGTTAAAAAATAATATTATTAACTTTAAATTATTAAAAAAAAAAAGATTTTATATATAATTATAAAATATATTTAAATATATATAATATTTTAAAACGTTAAAAATTTTTAAACATTAAAACTTAATATATAAAAACGTAATGTTATATAAATATATAAAAAAAATAAAAAAATAAATTAAATATATTATTAATTTTAAATCATTAAAATTAAAGTTATTTTATACGTTATTATAATATATTAAATTATTATAAATATAATGTTTAATTTTTTCATTATTAATAAAAACGTTAAAAACTTTTACAATATAATATAACTTTAAACCAAATATTTTTAAATGTTTTATTTATAATTTATAAATATAAATATATAAATTACGCGTTGCGTAACGTAAATAAACGTAACCCGTTTTAAAAATATTTAGTTTAAAAACTGAAATAATTTAAGCAAAAGTTAAGCTAAAATCTTCGAACGTGTTTGTATTTTGCTATATAAATAAAGCAATACAATACTTATTAACTGTTTTAAGTAACATCTCCACCAAATAACATTAAACATCCTAGTGACCTGTAGTGAATAAGCCACGAGGACAAGCCATCCATCCAGTCATCCAGTCATCATCACATGTCTGCTTGAGTTTACTGTTTAGCTGATAGGTACATAGAGTACATAGAGTACATAGAGTACATAGAGTACGTAGAGTACATGAGTACCTAATCCGTACGAAGTACCTAGTTACATCATATTATAAAGCCACATGTGGCTATCACCAGCCCCGCCTAGCCCGTGACCCACATTAACTTTTCTCATATATTTTCACTCCAAAGTTTCGTCCATCTCTTCTTCTTTTCCTTTTTTTATATAACCAAGGCACCAATCCTTATCATCAGACCTTTTCTCATACTCCCAAGACGTCCTGATCATTTACGCGTGCCGAGAGCGAAGCTCGAGCAGCCTTTTTTCGCTAGCAGTACCTGCAATTTGTGACACTGGGTTCGCTGTTAGATAGACGCTGCCGACATTTTTAGTTTTTAGTTTTTAGTTTTAGTTTTTTTTTTTGTTCTGTGCCTGTGTGGTAGTAGTAGTAGATAGACGCTTGTCTATGTCTTCTGCGTACTGCTTCGGTTGGAAAGTCCTTGATTAGGTACATGAAGTTTAGTGCTGTGGTTGACTGACTGGCGGGCTGGATGTGGCTGGCTGGAGGTATGCGAAAGAGCTCACTTGCGGGTGGTGAGTGGTGAGTGGTGAGTGATAGCCTACTCTGAATGATATATAGATATCTTACATCATATAAGAGAGCATAGTTACTTAGAGACAGATCTTTACGCTGCATACAACAGACGGATATGTGTTTTCTCTATATGTATACCTTTGATAATGCGGCTCGTGTTTGCGAGTGCCTAGCTGACGATGCTATCGGGTATGCAGACTCGTTCTCTTGTCTGTCATAAGTCTTACTATACATTAGATCTTTAATACGCGTGATGTCCTGTTTATATTATGTCTTGTCCGTTGCCGGGTAATAGTTCTCATCTATTACATTCAGTGATGTTTGTAAGTCTTACTACCCGGGTGAGATCAAGCGTCTTACCTTATGAGAGTTAATTCGATCCCGAGCGAATAGCTGAAAATGAGGGTATTGATATTGTGAATGGAGATCTAATAGGTAAATTGGTTACGGGACGGTGAGACTCACTGCCGCTACTATCTCTCTTAAGTTATGGACGCCTGTCGTCTTCATTGTTATGAGTAGTCCCCAGGGGTTCTCAAGAACGTACATCATCAGGCAGCAAAGGCAAGGAGAGAGTTATAAGTACCTATATAATTATTAATGTAAGGAAACGGTCATTTTCCAAAGCAGGCTGGTGCCAAAGGACAAGCCCAAGCCAATGCATAAGAGTGTATACTTGGACTTTGCATTGCTGAAGCATAGGTCGCCTGCCGTAGCCTGCTTGACGAGCGATGCTACCTAAACTGCGGATGGCGAATCAACATTCGTGGTGCCAGAGCCTGACGGCCACTGAGTTATCCTGTATGCTAAACTCTTGTCGTCGACGTAACAGCAAACTGACAGCCTTGAGTGGCATTGCAGCTGGATTGAGATGGCGTTTATTTATTGGTGAATTTATATTGTGAAATATGACAACAAGTGGGAACATATCTGCATTCGCAGAGTAATCTCGGATGCTTCAGTTGTCACTTTTTTCTATTCTGTTCCCTGAGCCTTCTTCCGATTCCTTATACTTGCCTCTAGACGCTCAGACGCATACTACCTTCAGATACCAAGTGGATCGAGACCAGCCAAGACGTAAAAGACAAGGCGGGCATCACGCGGTACAAGCTTTTCAGAAACGACTCCAACTGGGTATGGAACATCCACCTTGGAGTTCACCAGCACGACAAACTACCACTACTTCTTCCTCCACGACTCGACCGGCGACAGATATAGTTGCAACACGTGGAGCATCGGACATCCCTTTGTGCGGTTCAACTCGGAGGACCTGACGATTTTGTATATCAGCGGTTCGTGATTTCTGATATGTAAAGTAACCAACCTAACTCGAGGTATGGTTTCTTCCGACCTGATACGCGGTTGGTTAACTCCATCTTTAATGGGATATGAAGGCTGAAAATGCAAGTGGAAGGGGCTAATATCTACATCGTATGGTATATCCCGAGAAGGAAAATGGGAGAGAAGGGCGTTGGGGGTTCGAAGAGAGAGAGAGAGAGGATGAAACGGGGTAATGGATCAAGAGAGACAATAGTATACGTAATAAAGAGATAATAATATACATATTATTTTACTGGTGACAACTACTAGAAACCACCTTCGTGTTGCTTTTTGTTGCTGGCTCTCTTACTCCCCCTTTTACTTCAACCCCTATTCGGCATACGATCTAGACGATGTACATATACTCTACACATCCCACACTGTATCATATCGTGTATACTTTTCGCCTTAAGAGGCATATCCCTCCCGTCTCTTTGTTTAAAAGACTACTAGCCGTGCTGCTCGGAGGCTTTACGAGATACTATGGGCTATTGGTTTGATATATCAATTAAGTGCCTTTCAACAACTCAAGAGAAACCTACTCTCGAATGACTTGGAAGAAGTTGCCTTCTGTTACATATATGTCGCCTACTAGGCCACGATAGTATCTTGTAAATCGTTGGTCCGCGTTGATTATTCGTACTATGATGGATAGGAATTCATCTCTTAACTGGTATTTCTATTAGCAAATCCTTCAATAGGATATATATATTAACGGGCTATAGTACCGAAGTCCTCGTGCCTCCCTATTCCGCCCTACCGCACATTATATATTATATCAACCAGCCGAAGTCACCGTCACAAGTACGATAACATCAAACTCGAGAGCCCCCGTAAAACTTGGGGAGAAGAGTCGTATTTTATTTATAATAATCGCTCAGACTGCTCATGATACAAGCTCGCGCTGCAACCCATCTCAAACGCTTCCAAAAAATTACAGCCTGGGTATTCCTCCAATCTTACCACTGACTTGACGCCGTGTTTGTTGGTTCTTGTGCAAAATAGGTTGCTCAGCATAATAATTATGACGATAGTGGGGGCAAATATCCGCTATATCGTCCATCCAACCGTCCCCGCGCTTTTAATAATCAACGGGCTGATGACTTATCCCGATAAAAAAGAGGCCAGATATACGTATAAAGTCCGTATGCAAGTCCCTCATATCGGTTTCTCATGTGCAACGGTCGCGTCACGTCTTGGCACCCCCTCCACCCGGCGGATCTTCGTCGCTATCAGCAGACCCGGAACTCAACTTCCTACTTTCAGCTCTGAGCGCGGCCCCTTCGTTTAGCTCCATCTTATGAAGTCTCTCTCTAAGAAGCTCCTCGCCCGGTCTGACATCGAACTCTCCTTCGGAATCCGAGTCCGACTCTTCCTGGTCTGGCGACTTCTTCTCGGCAGGTAAGCCACCCTTGTTTACTATTGCAAGGGCTTCCTTCGATACCTCCGGCGCGGGTCGGCGGCCGAAATTCTTTAGTAAGCTGTTGGGATCGATGGGTTTGATAGTTGGATCGTATGCTGCTGGTAGCCCAACAGCTACTGCAACACGATGCGCTTCTTCGTCTGGGGTGAGATTGGGTTCTAGCTCGTATACGCTGCTGTTCTCGCTATCGGCTTCGTGCGGTTGACCTAGCAGCATTTGCGCATAGCTTTGCCTAGATGGGTCATGCGCTCGCTTCACCTTTTTTTTCACGCGCTTCTCATTAGGACGCACGACAACAACAGGCACTGGTGAGTATTGCAAGCAGTACTTCGAAAAAGAACTACGATTCACGAGGAACCCCTGGACTCCATCAAGGCTTCTACCCTTCGTACCAACGATCAACATGGATGGCTGGTATATTTTAATCTAATACGGTTCTGGTTAGTACTAATATTATAATTCGACAAATTGGACAGTATCATGCGATGAGCTACAGTTCGACTAGTAGGGGATACTAACAAGATGCTGGAACGTGCTGTGTAGTTTTCCAACAGCGTATTCTAAAATTAGGCCAATCGCTCGGTTCTGCGTATTCTTCGACTGGATTGATTCCATCAGAACCTTGGCATCTTCTTGGTACGCCTTATCCGTAAGGCGGACCTGGGTTTCGATTACGCGGACGCATATAATCTCGTCGCCGTCATCGACCAGTTCGTCCAGTAGCCATTGCAAAGCATGATCGGAATACGAGTTGTCGTCTACGCCGACCATAAAGGTGCGGTGTCGTCGTCTAAACTGAAAACCCGCATGGCGGTAGTTGAGGGTGAACGAGATGGGATTATACTCGGTTGATTCGCCGAGGGGGATGTTGTCGAATGCTACATGGGACTCGAACCTTTGTGAGCGAGGAGATTCGGTTAGCGTCTCAGTTGCCATCTGTTAGAAGAGCGATAGAGAAAGGAAGTAGTGGGTAAGAAATAGGAGAGAGGTTGGTGATACAGCAAAACGGGTCCGTCAAAGGCACCTTTTGCGCGAAATTCAACCAACAGCTGAAAGGGGAAGAAAGACTTGTGATTCTTAGGCCAGCGGCCACTAAAACGCACAGCTCTGCTGCGCTTTCGTCGTCTAAAAGAACGAGGTACTTGCTAAAGTACGGGGTTTGGCCTTGGGATGACATGTGGGGGATTATATTGAGCGGGGTAGCATCGGGCGAGTCGACGAATAGGGGCTGCTTTAGAGTAGGTCGCGCAAGTAAGAAACCGGACTAGCTTGACGATCCTCACCGGAACGACATGCGACCATAATGGAAGACCAGCCCTTTATCAGTTCTCGGCAACCACCCAGGTCATAGGCATTATCATATCTCGAGAGCCCATACGAATAACGACAAGCCACGCGGAATACGTTAGACCTCTCCTAGTCGACAAACGCAGTTATTATTCCTTGAAGGGTCGAGTATCATGCGGCTTCGGAGTTCTCAAGCGGGCCTATGATGTAATAGCACGGCGAAATTGGCTCTTCGGTCGCAAAAGAGTTCCCGCCAAGAAGTGCGATCGCGCCGGCACCCTCGCCCGACCAACCTTAGGAGCTAGGGGCTAGGATGTAGCAGCTTCGCGGCCATCCTTGCATTCGAAAAGTCTCGGCGTAAATGGAGCAAAATGTGCATGTGCGTACTTGTGTGGAGGGGGGATGTAAAATGCGTTAAAATACGAAATCATGTCGACTTACCTACGGTGCGGCGGAGACGCTGCCCGGATTCGATTTCCAGCATGCGGTTTCTTCAGACCTTGAGGAAGCGATGGGTGTCGAGGGGGTGCAAAGGATATAGACGAGATAGATGCCTTCCTAGATGGAGGACCACTACTCCCCGTACTAGAGGCTGTCTCGCCTGGAGTCGTTGCGCTCGCCTCTCCCGTGCTTTCAGCTGTCTCCTTCCCCTTGCCCTTGGATTCGGTAGCGGCCCGTTGCACTAAGCCTGCGCGGGGAGTGCTCCTTGCGCTATCTTGCGCTGAGCTGGAACGGGAGAGTGGGCTCGTTCTCTTATCGAGAGAGAAGTAATCTGTCTTCTTAGAACTTGGTTGCGATTTGGGAGAGACATCGCTCTCGGGGCTTCTAACCGGGGTAGGTAAACCTCCGGACATCTTCTCTTCTTTTCTCGAAATGAACTAAAGTGATTAAGATAGCGCCTATACAGATACTGTCGATACCTTACTCACGTTGCCTCAGTAAGAGGGCGGAGGAGGCAGTTTCGTACTGACGGCATTGAGCGCGGATAGTCCAAGATGAAACTCAAAGGGATAGCCTCGGGGCTATCCGTCTTCGAGATGGTCTGATAGCCGCGTGGAAGACAAAGCAAGCCTGAGTCTCGAAAGATCGAATCGACAAGCCACGTGGGATAACAAGAATGAGAGATACCAGGAGATATTGGTGGTGGAACACGAGACGGACGATTGGTGGGTGGTACGTCTAGGTAGTTAAGTGGCAGCCATAGGCCTTACAGCAACTGGTTACGGAGGTGTCCTGTCTATGGATTGCAAGAAAGTAAATTAGCTGGGGGACGTCACGAATATTCCTGTTGGTGTATCGCCGGAGACAACTGTTAAGGAGAATGAAGGAGAATGAATGTTTTAAAACAAACGCTTCGGGTTAAGGTAGCTAGTGTAAGGCGAGGGTGGTCAAAAGTGAGGGTTAGGTACGTATGGATGATGTCGTACGTTTTTGCTAAGGTGACTTGCTAAGGTGACTTGGCTTCCGTTGCAATCGTGGGAGCTTCGAGTTTCTTCAACCCGCCTTGTCTTGAGTAAGAAAAGCTTGGTTGAGGGAAGAAAGCTTGGCTGTGTTAAGTTTCGGCGGGCGGATTGGCGCGTGGTTGTAGGTAGGTAGGTAGACGGGTTGCTTTTAATGATGTATCTTTTGGAAACGGAAACAAGTGGGTACAAAATGCACTTGATGTCTAAACGAGAGAGAGGTACGTACGTATAAACTTGTAGAAGTGTTGTAAGTAACAACAACAATGATGAATTGCGATGAATTGCTGGCCAAAAAGGTAATAGTTGAGTCAGGCTTCTTTTTTAAAGAGGTGAAGGAGTCTGGATAAGGCGGCCATGGGAGGAGCGGGCTAGATGTACATATGAGGTAAAGGGCAGTAACAATAGAGAAGTAGTAGGTAAAGGTAGTTACCTACTAAGGTAGTGGGCTTGTAGGGGGTTGTACGGAATATAGGGCCTGTAGCTGCCCCGGGCGATGTTCTTTTTCTTAAACCTTGGTACGCACAAAAATGGGAAAGTAAAGAGCTGGAGCCAAGAGCTTAAACCTTGCGGCAGATGACGGCGCGTTTCCAGATTTTCCTATTTTTACACGCTACCGCAGGGAACTAGCAGGACTAGCAGGACTAGCAGGAGGTATGTAATTACTCGTACTGGACTAACTCTCTCGGTACCCAACGTACCTAACAGCAGCTAGTCGTATGTATGTTAGGTACATTAGGTACATTAGGTACCTACACTAGCCCGCTAACGTTAGTACCCCGGTTTATGCATCTACAGGCGTACAAGTACATGTACTATGTATGTATGCACAGTGGCCGCATACATGTAAGTCATCTCGCCTCCGCCTAGGTAGTTAATCTAAATTCTGAAGAAGCATCAATTGATCTTCCTCTCACGCTTCGAGGTCGTTTTCGTCTTACCTTTCGCTTTTTTCCCTTTTTATTCCATTCGTCCAATCGCAACATGTCAACAACTCGCGGCAGACACTCCAATGCGACGTCAGGCAAGCGTAATCGTCAGATCAGCCAGCAAAGCTTTTGTTTTGAAGCCGATATCCCGTATCCTATATCCTAAATGGGTATCTCAAATCTACCTTGTGTAAAACTCCCGTCGACTTCTTGCAGCGGCATACGACAACTGCCTTAAGCATCCAGTCATCACTACCTTGTACTCGTCATCATGTCTCTGGTTACGCTTTCGGTATATGTGATGACAGCGAAGTATCGATGCCAGCAATGACAGCAACAGTAATAACAATACAATAGATAACAGCAACAATTATAACAATAGCAATAGCAAACGTCCAAGTATTGTATCACCATGTACCTATTCATCTAAAATTAATAATACCAAGGCTTCGTCCACAACATCTGCGGCTAGAAGCCAACTGCACTCCCAGACAGGCGGGTTAGGGCCAAGAAGGAACATTCACCCCTCCTCGCCTTATCCTCTTCTCCAATCCTTCCATCGTCCTCAATACTGGACGTATCTAGAAGGTAGCTCCAAGGAACAGGCTCTACGTACGTCCGGATTGTAAATTTCTTCCTATCAGGCACGCAATTCAGAATCCAGGCTTTACGATTACAGTAACTACCGATGTGGCTTACACATGGGTGGCCTGCCTCCGCTTTTTAACTTAGCTGCTTGCTTGAATAAATATGTGTCTTGATGGTCAAGATCCGCAAAGTCTTCGTCCTAGCCGAGAAACGTACATAGTAGATACCTACTTACTCCAAGAAATGGAAAACCCCATATCGTTCAAAAGGGTACCAAGACCATGGGGATTAGCAAAACGAACACATAAGACATACGGGAGTAGTACAATCTCGTGCTCTTGGCGAACTTGGCGCATAGCTCGCGTAGCCAAGACGTTGACGGGCAAGGATGGCTTTCCTTTCCAACACTTTCTACCCTGAATCCTGATGACACATCTGTGCAACTCCTGCGGGAGAGTTAACAAGGAAATCTGGGCACATAGCACGACAGTCGTTCTAACTGGGGGCGCCACACGACATATCTCCGTATTTTTCTGACTATTAAGGAAAAAAAGGAAAAAAAGGAAAAGGAAAAGAACAAGAAAACGCTCCACTGGGATGGATTACGGATAGAATCATGCGCATCTCCGCCTCTAAACCTCCACCACAACGTAACAGTACCTGGCATTACGTCTGACGCTACCAGGCGCGGGCCCCAAAGTAGCGGGTGAGATGAGGAGCCACCGGGTCGAGCCGTTTCACACTAACCATCCATCACGATCGAACGCTGCCAGATGGAGTTCCCTACTTGGGCTACATTTCCCCGGTTTGCTCCTGTCGGATAGGGTAGATCTCGTCGCATCGGCACTGCTACCCGTCGGGGAGGGATCAGGAGGGGACCTCAGAGGCCTCCTTCGTTGTCAGGTAGTTCTCTCCTATTGCATATGGAGTAGAAAGGTCACATGGTTTTCTCTTCCACTGGGAATAAGATATCTATCGCTCATACGTTCATACGTGTTCGCCGTATTTGAGTCATCAGAGACAATGCTCGGGTGTACGCATTGTAGCCTACCCGCCATTCGCGAAGTTTCCATCCAGGGGGGAAGAATGGGATGTCTACTTGATGAGGCTACTAACCCGTATTATGTGTGATGGTATATGTATTATTATTCATCGTTTCTTTACATTCTCACATGTCAGGGATTCCACGAAACAGACAACCCCAGAACAGCACGAGGTGAAATGATGAAATCACAGCCCTGACCATGGAATTCGATAAGACTGTTAACCAAAAAAAGATCCATGTCTCCCATGCTATGTCAGCCACAATGGGATGCAAGAAATCTTGGCTTCCTGCAGCCTCACCGAATATATCACAGATTCACTACCGCCTGGGCTCCCCGGTTCTCACACGGGCTACAGCTTCGCCTGGTTATTTGTTCACGTAGAACCCGATATTTTCCTAAATCCCAACTAAAAGGTCCTCACCGCACACCTCTCCACGACGCGATAACCGAATTAAATATCTAGTCACGATTTACCGACACCGGGAAACTAAGAGATTGGCGAATCCCGCGATCGCATATATGCCTCCATACCCTAGGACAAAACCATACACATTGTGCTGACCGACTCGCACCTTGACGAACCATGCTTGACCGCTTTAGCCAACCCAACTGCCATCACCGACCGGCACCGGTGTTGATGATAAGTCCATTCGGTGCGATTCGGTCACGTTTACTATTATCCTATGTAGTGTTATGACCATTGCTTGTCCACGCTAAGATTTCTACCGTCCCCTTCGCTTTCTACATATCTCCAAGTAATACCGTTCGTTATGATTTGTCAAGCATTGCTTGGCAATATAATTTGGCAGGCCATGACTGCAAACGGATCATGCTCCGTAGCTATACGCGTTCATTGTCGAGATCCGATAAGCTCGAGTTTCCGTGACTATATTTTATTTATTTCCTATTCAAAGCATACTTTAAAAAAGTAGAAAGATGGCCTTGGATCCCCCGAGTCAATACGACCCCTCATTAGATTTCTCCGAGTCTGCAGTCGTAATCTGATCTGTTTCTGAGCTGTCACAGATCGACGAAGTAAGCTTATCAGCCTAATCACCATCATTGTTACTTCTCCTACCATAGACAGTTGGCCATATACATACACTTAGTAGAATATGTAGATAATATTGAGGCTCTACTCATCAATTATCATATGTATGTTTCAACGCCACGAAAACACATTTTGGTCCTGTCACAGACTTGGCTTCTTGGCTCTTCTACTTGGCAAGTCTTGATTCCTACCACGGTGAACTATGACACGCGATCAAAACGGGGTCGCATACCGGTATAGGTAGGACTAGAGAATGGGGAACGTCAATACGGTCAATTTAATCATGAGAGCAACAAGGATAGTAACTACCTATATTAAATTGATACCCTTGCAACTCCCGTCGACATCCCATTGGTACAGCGTAATAGACCTCGTGAACATCCAGGCATTATACCTATTTGTCTGACAGAACGATTAGATAAGGTATAACTTCAATAACATCCAGTCTCCTATATACTAAAATCCTAAATAGCCGATAACTACCTGGTCTCTATGCACGAGGAGAGAAGGTAGTCCAATGAATTACGAGTCATTCGTACGAAACGTTTACTGTTATTTCCATTGCTTATATTAGGCCAAGACAACTCGCGTGTTGTGCCTGTTTAGGAAGTTTATAAACTCGACCTACTAAAAGGCCGTTGAGCTTAGTGTAGAAAGGGAGGCGTACAGACACTCACAGTGCCAAGCTGCTGCAAGAATATCTACAAGAATATACCAAAGAGCTGTTATTATATCTCATAAAATATAAGAGCAAAAATCAGTCTGCCTCTTACATACTCCTCCTTAAGTCACCAACTTCATCTTCCATCATTCTCCCCTATTTCTTATGTAAACTGAACCCAGAGCTACTACACCTTTGTGTAAAGGCACCCGAAGCCTGTACTACAACTCCTGTCAGGTAACACTACGCCATATTTCTTACGTGTGCCGAGCTGTTTCTCGCCTCGTCGTCATCCACTAAATTGTCCATAGCGGACCCTTTGCCAACCCGAACTCCATAACCAAGCCCATCGAGACTTTGTTATGAAGGTACTACCTGTCACCGCCATAAAATGACTATTGCAGGTATCGTCGAAGTATAACCCCCGACCTACAAGCGGTACGAACTGTCGGGATCAAGGTCGCAAACTACTACTACTACATGCTCAACTACCTAGCCGTACCCATCACCCAGACGGCGTCCCCATCCTGAGGCATCATGGGCGGGTTAGCACCACGCACGAAGAAAACCTACCTAGCCCGCCTTAGTCCACCACGCAAAATTCCCATCGTCTCCACGCTGGCGTCCGGGAGTCCCACATTTACATGCGGTCAACTGGTGAGTAGCCGGTTCCTGACCGTATAGAAAGCTGTGTCACGAGAAAGCATTACCGGAAAAGGTCGGTGGCTTTGTAGATGCTTTTGCTGACGAGCAATTGCATTGCCTCGAACCAATACCTGCTGCATCTTTCCGAGGGTCCGGGGATGCAATGGGGCTGTCCTGGCTCAAACCCGGATTTACATCACAGCACGGCACAGCACAGCACGGCACATATGTCATATGTATGTACATATCTGGAGAAAAAGATGGATGAACCGACCCCAGCTGTCACCAGGTACGCACACCCCATGTGCCCAATTACCTTAAACAGACGTAAGGAGCGAGACTGCGTAAGCGTCTATATTCCGGGTATGTGGTTGATTGACTACGAGCTTGGGTTGCTTGGGAATCAGGCACAGCGGGCAGTAGTGTAAGTGGTAAGTGGTAAGTGGTAATAGGAATTAGGTCGTCTATAACTTGCTGGGCGGGAGCCCTACATATCAGACTGGGGGGCCGTATGTTATTGCTGACACTATATCTCCGACCAAAGTCCCGTGAGGCATCGTCAAGATACCTACCCAAGCAGTGTCACCCACAAAATCGTATTCTTGAGAAGCACCAGGCACCCCAGATGCCAGATACGTGAGAGATCGGCGGCGTTTATATCGACTGGCGCACACACATGGACCCATGTTATCGTCTTGTCACGTTAAACGGCATACATATAGTTGGTTATTATGTAACGTATGAGGTTATTCTACATATTCATCTTAGGATAGGAGTCTAGCGGAGCACACGAATAAACTTCTCCCCCCAGATAGGTAGAAATTGTCTCGTAGACGACGATACCAAATCCATGGTCTCTCTAGTGTAAAGTCCAGACTACCTACCTAGTTACCAGGGGATTGCCGATTACCCGCCTCATCGTCACACTCGGCACGTTGATTCCGCGGGGAGGTGGCTGTGCGAAACGTGGGAGTTAATATCTAGGTGACCATCTGCCCCCAGCCTAGCTACCCCGTGAACTACACTACCCAGGGCGCTGCAACAACGATGATACGATGTACCGGTTCGTTCCTTATGCATCTAGACAGCTCTATGAGCATGGTGTGTTAGTTGCAGCAAACGAGCGGTATACTGACTAACTAACCTAGGTATGTATGTGTTATCCCATCCTACCTGGTCACCCCCTACCATTCCTTCACGTAAAACGGGTCAGCCTAGGACCTAGTTCAGGGCATATGCGGTGGTCCTCACACACAGGAGCGTTCGGTTCGTGATGGAGATGCTATGCTATGCTATGCTATGCTAGGTCCCCTCCTATTTTCCCCTTTTCGGATAGCAGCAATGTATGTACATTAGGCATTAGGTATACAGAGCCCTACCACAGCTCACCCTCACCCACACCCTACACACAAAATGTAGGTATAATAACCCACCTCAAGGGCTCTTGGCCCTTCCTCAGCCCTGCGCGCTACGCGCGTTGTCACACCGAGCTAGCGAGACGACACGGCACACACATACACATACGGATTACACATACACATACATAGGTAGGTATATCGGCGGCCAAGACCGACAGACCTACCTCCTCCCCTCCTTAGCCGCTTGGCACTCGAGCCCGGCCCCGTTGCCAACAGCAACGCCGCCCGCCGAATCGCAGAGGTGCCCTAGCTGGGAGGCCTCCTAGGACCTAACCCACTTACCTACTACCTACTAACTAACTAACTAACCCACCGCCACCAACCATGTAAGAAGCATGTCACACGGTAAAGTTGGGCAATACCAAGACTCTACTCTACGTATGTAAATAAGTGAATATATGTGTATACGCAGGAAAACATATATACAAAAAAACCAACCCAGACCCGTTCTGTCTCCATCTCACGATAGCTTAGATAGGTAGGTAGGTAGGTTAGCCAAGGCGGCTGAGACCCCCTAGTCCGAAAGGCTGCGGATCACTCACCTCTCCCTGCACAACCTACCTATGCTCTGCGCCTGTGCTGCAACGTCGAGCTATCACCGGCACTACCACCACCACCTTCAACTCTACCTATACCACCCCAAAGCGCCGCACTGCACATCGTTAGGTCTTCCGCTACCCGCGTATACTGAGTATATTACACTACGACGCGCTCTGCCTATACGTGTACATGTACGCTGCACCCGGGTCTTGGCTGCGGCGTTGAAGAAAAAGCTCTTCTAACCTCCTGATCTACGTAAACCTACCTCGCATCATATTATGTGCAGACCTAGAAGAAAAACTCCAATTGCCAAAACTACAACACTGCGATGGACAAAAAGTATATACGTGTATACAAGTCAAAGAAATCAGTCAATCAGTCATTTGATTACTATATCTGTTCATGAGACTTGAAAATAAAAAAAACAAACTGGACGAGTAGCCCCCGTTCGTTTTCTACATACAACCAGCCGATATCTTTCTTTTTGCCGGTCACTCTTTTGCCTGCCAGCCCGCCTGTCTCCCGTGGTCGGAGAGAGTGACATACAAATATCCCATTACGCCTGTGCAATGCAAACTGGAGACGAAACCCGTGAAAGGACCCGCCCCCCTTACGTTCCCCTTTCTAATCCTTTGGCCTTGAGAACATCTCTCTTTGATGATCTTAATTGTACGTCCGTGCCAGGTTGCGGAGGTACCAGTCCACCAACTTGCGTCCAACTTTGGCTTCCGAGATGTGAATTAGATCCTATAAGTTCCTGTTAGCGCTCTGGTATGATGAAAGTTGGATGGCCCTATATAAGGCTGGAACCCTAAGGCGGAAAGAAAAAACTTACTCCTTGCAGAGCGTAATCCAGGTCGCTCACGTTGACCCATTCTCCTTCTAGTAGGGCATGATCGGTCCACCGCAGCTGCTTAGTGCGCTGCTTGTTGACTAGCAGCCAAGAGCGTAACTCTTCCGGCTGCACCTCTAGGAAGCCAGCGAGCTTCTTAAGATCCATAGTCGTGTAGAGGCGCAGGTAAGATTTCACGGTAGGGTTCCACATGTTGGTCTTGACCTCGTCCATGAAGATGGAGAGGTGATGGTCGATCGGGTCCACGTTGGCCTCGGGGTTATCGAAGTCAGGGGGAACCGGCGAGATGAACTTGGGGCAGGCAGCCTTGAATAGCTCCTCGAAGATCGGTAGAGACTCGGGGCCACCTCGCTGTAGCTTGAGCAGCTGGTCTCCGTACTTCTCCCTCAGAGCGGTGTGGATGGTGTCGTCCAGACGGGTCGGCTGGAAGGCCACGCAGATGGCAATGAGAGCGTACATCTGATCATTCTTCTTGGTGATCGAATCGTATTGGGCGTTCTTCTGGAAGTTCTTGGTACGCGATACGTAGACAAGAATGTGGCTGAACATGCGGATGGCATCGGCATATCGGTGCATCATCATGTAGGAGAAGCCTACGTAGTAGTAGGTCGTGAAATGGGCGGCCATGACGCGCGCAAACATGGCCTTCTTGTTAAGCTCGATGTCATCGAGGGTCTTCAGCGCTAGGCTGAAATCTCCCAGGAGACAGTGGACGCGTAGCAGTCCGATGATGGAGAAATACCCAAGCATTCGGTATAGGGTCTTGGAGCCGTACTCTCCAGCGACGGCGGCGGGATCCTCGTTACGCTTCATGGCGGCCAACTGCTCGGTAATTTGCGATCGCTGGATCAGAGAGTACAGTACGTTAAGCACACTATAGCAGCCCCATGTGTTGGGGTTCTCGCGTAGAATCTGTCTCTCTTCCTCATTGTCCCTCGCTTGTCTTGCGATTCTTAGTCGGTAAGAGGAGAAGCTGTTGAACTGGTAGATGAACTCGTCGATAACATCCCAGGCCCAGTAGTGCTATAAAGTATTGTCAGCACACCGATCAGCCGCCTTGGTTATTTATATGTGATGAGGTTAGGACAACTAACCGAGGGAGGCTCCAGATCAACGGGGCCATCCGAGTTAAGGATGAAGTGGAATAGGTTGCAGTAAGAATCGTAGCTTTGGAATTTGACTTCGAGGGGGGCGGAGAAGTCCAAAGGTTGAGCAGCAGCGACGAGTCTGGACTGGATATCATCGGTTTGCTGAGCCATAGTCAAAGAATTGACTTGCTCCAATTCTTCCATACCATCTTCATACTGGACCTGCTCTTGGTAGTCAGCCACGAGGGCTTCCTCCTCAACATCGCTGTCATCCTCGATGGTGCGCACAGGCGCGGCACCGTTTCTTAATCCGCTCATCGTGGAAATGTGGTGTGGCACAAGGACGATGTCGCGAATAGTATCGTGGGGATCGTAGCCGTGGAGGGGCTCGTCGCAATTTTTTGGCCCTTGTTGTATTGAAAAGATCTGGAGAAGGATTAACTGGAAAAAAAAGGACCGAAGTTTTGGCGGATTAGGGCTTCTCAATGTGGCCCTTGCGCTTGCGCTTGCACTTTGCCCCTCCTTTTGCAGTTTCGCGTCAGTGCGTCAGAGCACTTGCACTTGCACTTGCAGAATCAATCTTTGGCGGGGCCGCGGGGCAGTTGAATCTCTGCGCTTATCGATATTCTTTGCCCCGCTATCAGCAAAGGAAATCTTAGGTAGACGGCAATTAGAAATGCAAAGGGAAGGTATGAAACGTCATAGTATACCTAGATAATTCGGTATACCGGACAAGAGATGAAGCTTGGGGTCTTAAATTATACAACTATGATTCATAGTGACTACGTTACAGAAACCCCACAACAAAAGCCACTATAATCTTAGAATTGGTAGAATATCCAGCCAGTCAGACTACTTAACTAGTGGATACTTAAAAGTTACTGTCGCTAAAGATAACTACCTAAAGTCACTCACTGGCTAAACGATATAAATCCTTTTGTTGTTTCGTCAACCTCCCCGTCGGAGCTATTTGTTTACCTATTTATAATCAACTAAGCACCTGAGCTTCTCTTTGATGGTATCCAATATCGACTTCATCGACTTCATATCTTCTTCCCATTTTGAAAACACAACACCGTCAAAATGCCCGTCGTCACTCCAGAGAAATTAGCTGCTCTACAGCGACACGCGGATGATATAAGAAATGTACTCATCCCCTCGTTCTGAGTCTATTAGTGCTCATTTGACTAACATATCTCAGATCTGTATCCTAGCTCATGTTGACCATGGCAAGACGTCTTTAACGGACGCCCTCCTTGCTACAAATGGCATCATTTCGCCAAAGCTTGCCGGCAAGATCCGGTATCTTGACTCACGACCCGATGAGCAAATCAGGGGTATCACTATGGAATCTTCCGCTATCTCCCTATACTTCTCTATGCTCCGAAGACCAGCTCCGGATGCTACACCCGTAGCTAAGGAATACTTAATCAACCTAATAGACTCACCTGGACACATTGATTTCAGTAGCGAAGTATCAACTGCATCAAGGTTATGCGATGGTGCCGTCGTGCTAGTCGACGCCGTCGAGGGCGTGTGTAGTCAAACAGTCACAGTTCTCCGCCAGGCGTGGATGGAGAAATTAAAACCTCTTCTGGTTTTCAACAAAATAGATCGACTGGTTACCGAGTGGAAAATGACTCCAGGTGAAGCTTACATCCACCTTAGCAAGCTTCTAGAACAGGTGAATGCCGTTTTAGGAAGTTTCTTCCAGGGAGAACGTATGGAAGAGGATCTGAATTGGCGAGAACGAATGGACGAGAAAGTTGCTGCGGCTGCTGCAAGAGAGGCAAAACTCGGAGATATCGAGAACGAAGCGGGCGACCTACAATTCGAGGAACGAGACGACGAAGAACTATATTTCGCCCCTGAGAAGAATAATGTCATATTTAGCAGCGCTATTGATGGCTGGGCCTTTACCGTACGACAATTCGCTAGCTTATACGAGAAGAAGCTCGGCATTAAACGAAGTATTATGGAAAAGGTGTTATGGGGCGATTTCTACTTAGATCCGAAGACTAAGAAGGTTCTTGGGCGAAAGCATTTGAAAGGCCGTAATTTAAAGCCTATGTTTGTCCAGCTTGTGCTTGAGCAAGTTTGGGCTGTATATCAAGCAACTACCGGTGGAGATCATGGAAAGGGGTAAGTCGATTTTCTTTCCGTTTTTCATTTATATCGTTCATTTCGTCTCCTATTTCAAACAAAGACACTGTATTGCCTAAAACTATATAATATTTCAGAAATGTTTGACTTATGAACCTCGGATTGGGAAACAATACGCTGACTATGATACAGCGACCCGGCTCTGCTCGAGAAGATAACAAAATCGTTAAATATCACAATAGCGCCGCATATTGCCAGGTCACGAGATCCCAGATTACTACTTACAACGGTTTTTTCATCATGGCTACCACTATCAACGGCTCTTTTAGTGTCTGTCGTGGAGTCTCTGCCGTCTCCAAAAGTGGCCCAGGCTGAACGTTTGCCCGAGTTGTTAGAATACTCTCCTGGTTCATCTCACATCGATCCACCCGTTAAGGATGCGATGGTGAATTTCAAAACCTCAAAATCAGACCCCGTGGTTGCATACGTCAGCAAAATGGTTTCCGTACCCGAAAGCGAACTTCCGGAGAATAAGAGGCGGACTAATCAGCTCAGCGCCGAGGAAGCCAGAGAACTGGCCAGGAAAAAACGGGCGGAATTCGCTCGTGCTCAGGCGGCAGAAAGCAACGGAGTGGATTCCCTTACGACGGCTCTAGATAGTGCGAATTTAGACGACTTCGTACCCGAAGAGGAGAAAAAGATCGACCCAGAGCACTTGATAGGGTTTGCACGGATATATTCAGGTACTCTATCAGTTGGAGACTCACTTTACGTCCTGCCACCAAAGTTCTCTCCCGCAAATCCCCACGCGGCCCCTGAGCCTCAGAAGGTGACTGTAACGGCTCTATACATGCTTATGGGCCGCAACTTGGAGTCGCTTGATTCCGTCCCGGCTGGTGTCGTTTTCGGCATTGGCGGCCTCGACGGCCATATCTTAAAATCGGGAACCCTATGTAGCCAATTAGAAGGTTCCGTCAATTTAGCGGGTGTCAGCATGGCGGGAAAACCTATCGTGCGAGTTGCCCTCGAACCGGTTAATCCATCTGATCTGGATAAGATGATCGAGGGTCTCAAGCTGCTTGTGAAGAGCGATCCGTGTGCGGAGTACGAGCAATTCGAAAGCGGCGAACATGTTCTGCTTACGGCTGGTGAACTACACCTAGAAAGGTGTTTGACGGATCTGAAGGAGAGATTTGCAAGGTGCGATATCCAAGCCGGCGCGCCTATTGTACCGTATAGAGAGACAATTGTGCGCGCGGAGGAAATGAGACCACCAGCAAATAAGGAATTAGGACGCGGCGTTGTTGTTGGCGTCACGAACTCGAAACAGGTCAGCATCACAATTCGAGTACGGCCATTACCCGAAAACGTCACCAAGTTCCTCCTCAAAAACCCGGGCGCTATCAAACGTCTTTATTCAGAACGAAATGCGCTAGAGGAACTCGAACAAGAGAATGGAATCGACGGAGAACAGAAAATCGAGGAGGAGGAGGATGATGATCTACTCGAGGGCAAAAGCATATCTCTCGATGAGTTGAAGAAGCAACTGCAGGCGAATTTGGAGAGCGGCAAAGGACGTGAGGGGTGGAAGGGTGTCATCGACAAGATAACAGCTTTCGGACCGAAGCGAACGGGTCCAAATCTACTAATCGACGCAACTAAAGACAGCTATTTCCCCAAGGTGTTCGCTCCGGAGAAGCAAGCGGATGGCAGCAGCCCGAAGGCAGACGAGACACTCAAGGCCGCGCATCTATGCGACAAGGTTACGTATGCGTTCCAACTGGCCATGAACCAAGGTCCGTTATGTAACGAGCCTGTACAAGGTATAGCTGTCATTATCGAAGACGTGACCGTCGCGCCAGCGGACGAGGAGACATCTGCACGGGATCGCCTTGGCCGGCTTACAGGCGAGGTCATCAAGACGGTACAGCAGTCTATTCGCCAGGGCTTTTTGGATTGGTCTCCACGCCTGATGCTCGCTATGTATTCATGCGAGATCCAGGCAAGCAGTAAGTTCTTTCCAAACATTTTTCACATTTTATCCCGTTCCCTTTTAATCTAAATAATATACTAACGCCAATCATAGCCGAGGTCCTTGGACGCGTATATGACGTCATCACGCGACGTCGCGGCCGCGTTCTCTCAGAACAGATGAAAGAAGGCACGCCGTTCTTCACCATACAGTCGACGATACCCGTGGCGGAATCATTCGGGTTCGCGGAGGAGATGCGCAAGCGCACGTCGGGTGCCGCGCAGCCGCAGCTCATCTTCCAAGGGTTCGACATTCTGGTTGATGAGGACCCGTTCTGGCAGCCCTTCACCGAAGATGACCTCGAGGATCTAGGTGAGCTTGCTGATAAGGAAAATGTTGCGAAGAGATATATGGACGGTGTGAGGAGGAGGAAGGGTCTGCTGGTTGAGGGTAAAGGCCAGAGGGTTGCGGCTGAGAAGCAGAAGACTCTGAAGAGGTAAAGGGGCTAAATGGCCCAGTGGATGGGTTGTGATTGGTTAAGGCATAGGTGCTGGATAGGGAGGATGTTGGGAGTCAAGTGATGCATAAAATTCATAATACGATAATCTGGGGAAAATGCGCCCTGCGTTGTCGTCAAATAGATTTTGTGTGCGCCTCGTAGTTTTGTTGAAAATAAGTAAGCTACGTATATGGTGGTTTAGAATACCTAGGTAGTTATATTCGCCTTGTATAAACCTCGGGTATTTACCTAAATCATCAACTGTATGAAAGGCTTCGAAATAATGTCTCTTCTTCCTTAGGTAGTATTGTTGTATATCCAGGTACATATTTGATACTTGCCTGCTTACCTGGTTCCTGAGATTGTAGTATGTCGGTTTACGTTAAACTAGCATATGGTTTAGCAACTACTCTTATGTGAGAATATAACTCGAATGTTTTCGTAATATAATGTATAAGTTTTAAAGGTAGCTAGGGGTACATGGATATGTATATAGCTTGAGCTCTAAGGAGTACCTTCTAAAATATGCAAGTCTCAGCCAAAGGAGAAATGAAGATTACTCCGTCATTTGGTATTCGCTAGATAAAAGAAATAAAACCTATCCGTCTTTTTGGGTAGTCTGCTGGTCTGGGGAATGGGAGTTTCTTCTCAGGGCAGACCAGGGGCCGATACGATCGAAGGAAAGGAAATTCTTTCAAGGGCCAGTCAATGAGGGGCAGAGAAGGGCAGGGGATGGTGGTACGAAGGCTTGGTAGGACTCAGCCTCCAATGGAACCGTGGGGTTGCCAACCATCGAAGCATCGTTGTATAAGTTGCAGACGTCTCTAAGTTAGGTACTTCTGTCATCTCCTAATATCCGATCGGGCTGGGGTATGAATATCCGCCCTAACCCTACCGGTAGGTTAGCCAAGTTAACATTTATATATACAATATATACAATATCTACTAAGGTAAATAGCTTGATCATACTTCGCTGTGGTAAAGTGTCATCTGAGAAAGTCGACGCAGAAGAGGGATGGGGTTCCGATCCATGGTCAGGAAAGGCCCAGGAAGGACCTGGTATACGAGATGACCAAAGCGCAAACGTATCGACTCTTACACCTCTCTTTCCGTAGACGATAAATATTAACTATTAGCTGATCCCTCATATGTAGGCTACTGGACTTACCATAGCATAGAACGTCCCAGATTCGAGCGCAGACGACCTGGCAAGCAAGTCGTAGTTGATCGGGGTTTCTTGTAGTGATTGAGCGTTGCGACGACGAATGAATCTTGGGAGGCATTGTAGACCTGCTATGATGCACATGATGAGTATAGAAACAATCCCAACAATTATATCGCCCGACAACGCCATTATAGGAAAAATCAGCAGTGTTTTCGATGAGTGATATGGAAGAAGAAGAAACGGATATCTTGAAGCATCTAGTACTTATAAACTTCACATAAGAGGGAAGAGATGGCTTACTTATATGTTCATTAAAGCTATAGAGGTAGCAGCATCCCTACTGGGCGCTGGCATCAAAGTGGGAACATTAGAAAGTGTACATTGAATAATGTAAAGGAGCGCTTGGGAAGAGAGAGGCTTTGGAAGGGGGGATTTCGGAAAGGGGAAATTTCGGAGGGGAGATTTTGGAAAGGAGAGTCTTTAACTACGAACTAGCATACCACATAACTAGCCAATTCAGTATAGTAACGTATCCAATCATATTTTAACGAGGCTGTTTAATTGAATTAAGTGCAGTATACTGTGCGCCACGCCACGTTGGCTTCCCGGACTGGGAAAAAGAGATTGTGGAAGGGGATTATGGAAGGGGATTATGGAAGAAGATGGTAAAGGGAGATTTTGGACAACCTGGATCTGCATTGCTGACAACCTCAGCTGAACCCAATAGTACTTAGATACAGGGTAAGCACCTAGTACATAAGTAGGTACTTATGCATTATCTCCAACCTGTGATACCCAAATTACTTTACATACCTATGTTAGGTACCCAGGACCTCTATCGATTTTAAATTGCAACTTTCTCCCATGTGCTTACTTCACAGCCTCTTTAACCACGAACAACAGCCACCTTTGAATAGGCATCCTGACTTGATTCTTTTCATCGAAATTCTGTTCATCTACTCTATTAAAAATATTGACATCATGCCATTATTCGGGGGCCCATCTCAGGGCTCCACGGGGGATATATGGCTACGGAATAAACCTACCATCGAGCGTTTCTACGTGATCGAAAATAAAACCGCCGAAGAAGTAATGGAAGTCATGGAAAGGGACTACGGATGCCCACGAATCACGTAGGTACCTAATTACTCCTATTTGTATCCTGCTACATTATTGATCAAAGTCAATAGGAAAAAAGCTTTCCAAAAAATAATCCGGAATAAGCTCAAATTAAGCAAGAGGCTCAAGAAAGGCGACTGGTTGAGAATATACCGATATTACCTTGTCAACAGAAAAGGTCTGCCAACTGTAGTTTATCGTAACAACAGAAAGATTCTTTGGAAGGACGTGATGAAGGAGGTCAAAAGGTCAGGGCGTTTGCCGACAACAGGTCAGGGTGAGTAACATATTCAGTGTTCGAATAGTGGTATATACGGGGCTAACATATCCTAGATGGTGATGCCACGCTCCCTATGGATGTTGTATTGAGGACACCATCACCATCACCATCACCAGCCGGATCTCAGATGTCCTATTCTCCAGCAACAAATCCTCAACAATCAACGGGCTCCTCACCCCAACCGTCAACCTCTTCACCTACAGCTCCTGTTGTATCACTGGCCGGAAATTTACCGACATCCACCATAAGAGATATTAACAATGCCCTAAATGGCATCCCATGGATTAAGTTTAACTATAGAATGCTTTGTACGTATTTGGAACCCCTTGTATCATTATATCCTAGGACATCGACTAATAGATATATTAGCGACTGCAACTTCTCCACACGATAGCGACACAAACCTCCCGTTGGACCTCAACTCTTTGAGGACTCTCATTGACACCAGACTTGGATTAGATTCATTTAGGATCTGGAAAGCCGCATTCCCTTCTACCAAACTGCACTTCTTGAGCAGTATGCCCTCATCTTTTGCACTTACACCAGACATCAATGTTTATTACCTCCTAGCCAAAGTCGTTTATTTAACCTCTAATAATCTCCATTACTCGTCTAATCGGTACCACAATATATTTACCAGAACCATCCAACTTCTGTCCTGCCAAATACCGAAAGAAGTTCTGGATGGATTGTTCCAACAAGATCTCTCTATCCTTAGGATCATATGGGAACACTTAACTGAGTGTGCCGGCATATCTAGCTATCGTGACACATTCACTTCATTGATCAAGGTTGGATTCCAGCATAAAAGATGGCTTCTCCCTGAAGGGGATTTATACCTCTCTTTTGCTGCCTCGATGAATGCTCTTGACGTTGTCCAGGATCTACTCAACGTCGGCATTCGTGCTGATGATGTTGTAAGAGGCAGAGAGTACCCCGTTATCATTGAAGCCGCGGCTGCTGGCAATATAGAATGTATGAAGTTGCTTCTAGGAGCATGCGACGTAAATGGCAAGATTAGATGCAACAGGTCAAGCTTTCAGATACTTATCTTCGCCTTCGTAGAGGGTGAATTTCGCATTCCTACAAACCAAAACTATCTAAACTTATCAAGCTTTCCCAAGGGAATCAGAAGTGGACAGTTCACTACGGTCAGGGTCAATCTCAGGAATGAGTCCCAACATCTAATACTAAAAATGTTTTTGGATTGTGGTGCAAATGTCGACTTACCGTGGGCTACCCGCCTCACTACCGATAATCAGGTATTATACGATGTCCCCGAGGAATGGTGTCCCACTACCTTAGAAAAAATTCAATACTGGGACAAAAGTCTATTCGAAGAACTCGCTCCATATAGCACTGTTACCACAGGACGCAGTTTTCGACAAAATATATATGTTTTGGCGTCGCAAGGCAAGGAATACCTTCGTGAATACTTATCCTTGCAATCGGCAGAGTCTGGTTCCATGACGAAGGCATCCTTGGAGTTGGTTCTCTTCCAGCAAATCATAAATGATAAAATTATTGATATAGAGGACGTACGTATCAACATAGACATTATTCGAGGACTTCTTGAATTCGGTGTGGATACAAACCTTCGTTCGTTAAAGAGCTATACAAAATATGAATATTGTGATCTGGGTATCCACGATCTCCTCCAACACCTAGTCTTAAAACCGGATGTTCATCGCTTTGGCAAGAGCTTTGATACAGTTTTGAGGCTAATCCTTCGATCAGGAGCAACCATAACTCCGGGCGTATTGGCGGCTGGTGTTCAGAAAGAGGGAATCGATATCTTGGAAGCCCTTCGCAGAGTTGGCGCCGATGTGAGACGATATGGCGCTAGTGCATTAGTTTTGGCTGCACGGTTTGACAATTACGATGCCGTTAAGTGGCTGTTAGATTCCGGGGTGGACATCAACGCAGTGGTTCTTGATCAGAGTGTCATTGCATTAGCAAGCTGGAGCGACATACGTTGCCTGAGATGTCGGATGTGGTCTTGTAGACATTGGAAGCTTTCTGATCCAGCGAGTTGCGAAATGCTGAGATACTTAGTCGACCGTGGTGCGACTTTGAAGAATCACCCAGGCGACTCAAATTCTTTTCAATTCTTGTACCATCTCCTCCTGAGGTATGAGGCGAATGGCTCTATATCTAATATGATGGAGCTATTTCTACCGAAATTGCGTCCTCACGACCTGCTGCCCCCTGATAAGTCTAAAAGTCTATGGGAAGCTTGTCTCCATTCAGAAGAACAACATTACCCCGATGAAAAGCAAGCCAAAACCCGAAAGGAAAAGATTGCGGTACTCGAACTGCTTCTCAAGCACGGCTTACTGGTTCAGGATGACCTTGCACTGCCAAGTTTGGTTGATTATAGAGGACCGCCCGAGTTAATCGAAAGGCTCCTGGAGTCTTGTATGGATATTGATACATATATCGAAGATTTGGATTTTACGAGAGGTCTTATTCAATCTGCAGCATATCAAGGTGATAAAGCTTTGGTTGAAAAGCTGCTACAAAAGGGTGCCGACATCAACCAGTCAAAGGTTCCCTTTTGGGGGAGAACGGCCCTCCAAGTCGCATGTGATTGGAGACAAGTTGCAGCAGGGGAAGAAGCGAAGAGAGTCGGTCTTATTCAGCTCTTGATCGAGAAAGGCGCAGACATTAACGACCCTGGAAGGATTTGTAATGGATATACGGCCTTGCGGTATGCTGTTGTCCAAGGCAATATAGAAGTCGTGCTTTTATTAATATCTGAGGGGGCTGTCATCAATACGCCCGACAATCATATGTATTATCCGTCCACTAAGTATAAGTATTATGCGCTAGACTTGGCGACGTCTCTTGGAAGACTTGATATAGTTCACCTTCTCTTAAATGTTGGAGCTCTTAGTGGCAGCCCGGGGCAAACCGGTTATGATGGGGCGATTGAGGTGGCGGAAGAATGTAGACACTTCGCTGTGGCCGATTTGATACGACAACATGTAGGAAAGGACCTGAGAGATAATTGAGTTCCGGACGAAGCTGAATTCGAAAGGGGGGGTTGGACTTGACTTAATCATCTTCTTTCCGTCCCTGATAGCATTGCGAGAGTGAGCTCTTATTGAAACTAATGTGTCACGGTACAGTCCTTGTAGGCTGAGATAGAATCGTCAGGTCCTCGAACTGACAATGATCTACCTTTTAGTAGTGTAGTAGCTATCTCCGTACCATCACATAGGTAATGTTTGTATTTCCGGGTCCAAAATGAATGAGGATTTCTCCTGCGTCTCCATTATTTGAACATCATTCTTACCTATCTAATGCAACCATGAGAATGAAATGGTCGTTTAATTCCAACTCATATCATTTTCTTATTTATCCTCTATGAAATCGTTCGCTTAGAAGTATGTATGGCGGGTTATAAGACACCGATGTATCCAGAGTAAGGGCTGAGGCTCTTATAAGGTACAACTATCACTGCCCTAAAAAAGATATTTTACGAAAGATTATCTTATAACTAAGTGAAAGTATTATACATACCTAGGTACCCTGAAACTAACGGTATAGAACTTGATCAAAAATCTTATAACGTAATATTAAGGTAGCTTATTGTAATAAATTACCATTTGAAGACGCAAGGAGCTATATGTGAGAGAACGTAGTATTTTGAATCGTTTAAAAGCTAGTGAAAAATAACAAGATAGCAACTTAAAAGCTACGGTCGGGAGAATCCCACCGTTATATGACTGTTATGTCCACTATAAAACCAAATATAAGGCTATTCAGAATTGCAAGGGCACAGTTTACTACCACTTACAGGGACACTATATCCTTAGGTACCTAGGCACTGACGAGACTCAAGTATACACTCCACTTCGATCACCAACTTAAGACTTCAAAAAGACCAACTACCAAAAAGAAAAGGAAGGAAAAAAAATAAGCAAAAACATACAACACCGGGGATTCGCTGGTCGTCACCGACCCAACTACTGGTCCGGCGGTATCCGGTTTATCGATGGGAGAGCGGACGGGATCCCGAGTTTTCCAGATCCTATGGTCGTATGTGCTTGAATGAGAGGTTGTTAACATTTATATACCTGGGTGGGTAGTTGATAAATGCATATTACTTGCCAACTACTGGAGTTGAGTTCTGATGTCTCGCCGCTGTCTTGGAACAAAAGCACCCACCCTGCTCAAGAGGTAGTTACCGACTTAAAACATACCACTTTACGAACGGTTAAAAGACCCACCTTATCATATCTCGATGAAAATGTGTCTGTGTCTTTATACTTGAGAACATATTTATTTATTCAATGTGTACCTAATCAGTCCTATAGACCTTACGGTTTCAATCCCAAACTCCATAAGTATATGTGTGACTATATATACGAGTGATATACGTTGCCTCCTCCGGCCGCTTTGCCCCTTTTCCGGGTATCCCAGTAATGTTCCTTGGCGTAATAAGTAAGAAGGCACCTCCCCTTCCGGTACTGGCAGTCTAGATGTTGTGTAATTATGGCTTGCTGGCGGTGGTGCGCAGCGACGTTCGGTAGGTAGTGTTAGCTATTCATCTGCCTTTTAGATGGGCGTGGATGTGGTTATGTGGGTATCATAACAGGCTTCGGTGTCTGGAAGCCGCTTTTTGCCTTGGGTGGACGGATTAGAGGTCGCTTGTTTCCGGCTACTCTTTTTAGTTTAGTATAATCGTCTCCTCGTCCCATCCCCAGACCTGGGACAGATATCTCTCCATGTTGACCCTCTTTGTCCGCATCTCCATCATCCAAGGGTGCTCAAGCATTCTCCATGGGCTTGCACGACGGTTTGGTTCTTTCTCGAGACTATTCATTCATTAGAGATTAACGTTTTTCTTAACGGTGACAAATTTGGGTGACTTACCAGCACTCGATGAAATACTTAAAGCTATCACTCCAGAATATGTTGGCATCCGGCTCGTCCTTTAGTTTTGGTATCGGTTGTCGGACGATGTAGGTCAATAGATCGATCAATCCTGCCTTGGGTTGCATCTCGGTTCCGTCAGCTGGGAAGGGGAATCGGTGCTGAGCCACCTCAAGGAGCGTTACTCCGGTCGACCAAACGTCTGACGTGATAGTGTAACTTTGACCAGTAATACGCTCCGGTGCCATGTAATAGCTCGTACCGATGAAGGTATTAGCTTCACCCTTGGTTCCAAAATCGCCGGAAACGCCAAAATCGCACAATTTGACTTCGCCGTTGCGGCAAAGTAGAATATTCGACGGCTTGATATCTCGGTGAATAATCTTTTTGCTGTGGAGATAAGTCAAACCTCGGAGGACGCCTTCGGCAATCTTCCCTAGGACCTTTTCACCTGTTCGGCCACCAAGTCGCTTTACTTCCTTGTAGATGCTGTCGAGGGATCCGCCCTCGCAAAACTCCATGGCGATAGAGATAGTGGCTGTAGCAGGGTCGCCGAAAACACCGTAGTATCGGCAGATGTGCTCCGATGCGCATTCCTTATTGAAGTTGATTTCACGGAAGATCTGCTTCTTAACATCCGGGTCTGGATTTGTAGTAATGACCTAAGAAGCATATTAGCACCTATGCGCGCTCCTGTTAAAGTCGGGGACTAAAAAGTAGGCGGTATACCTTCAATGCAAATACCGTCTTCCCACCCTTCAGCTTACATCGTGTGACGGCACCGCCAGCGCCCTCACCTAGACTGCCCAACTCAACAATTCTGCTTTCTGCGCTCGCGATTCTCCAGCCATTATCATCGAGCTCATCCACGTCGGCAGTTCTTGCTTTCTCTAGAGTTAGCTTATCGAAGCTATCCTCGAGGCCCTGCGTGCTATTATCTCGCTCCATGCCAATGCCCCCCTCGCTTCTCTCAGAGTAGATAGAACCGACAGCAGATATGGGGTCCGGAGTGCCCTGCGGCCTCGAACCGATGCCATATTGTGACGCAAACGATAGGGCGGAGAATTGGGAACCTGCGGATGTAGGGTTGCTAGCTCTTCCGTCGAGAGGACCAAAACTACCGGATCGCGAGTGCGCCGCGCTGCTTTCGCTACCGCCGCTCGCAGATTGTCCCGGCTGAATTGTAGGACGATGTTGTTCATATGGTGCGACAGTGCTACCCATCGGAGTGGCGACATGTACTGTGAGTTGAGGCCGCGACGGAGCGCCTGCGGCGCCTACCGGCTTAACATTGGGAGATGGTGGGATAGCTAGGCCTAATCTCGGTGGTCGTCCGCCACTCGGCCTGCCGACTCCGAGCGCGGGTCGAAGAGGAGCAGGAGAGGACGACATGATAGGAATATGTGTCGGAGCAGGCGGGGGGGTGCTGACAGCAGCATCGAGAGTTGCTGCAGTTGAAACCTTCATGGTAAAAGTACGTTAGCATCGCAGGCACACGAGCGGGGAAGGTTGCTGGAAGTAGGTGGAAACAAAAGGACAGAGGTATAAAGACAAAGAAAATAAAGCTCATGAGAGCGAAGCTAAGAGGGGAGAGCACAATTACATTTTGGATTACGGGCTCAGAAGCCTGAGGATTCTCGTGATCGGGCATTTTGTGGTAGGTCGGTATTCAAACCACAGATTGCGCAGCAAGCCTGTGGGTGAGTGCGTGTTCTTGGTGTAGTTTGCCGAGGAGGCGGTCGGGCTGATCGAGTACAAAGAAGAAATAAAAGGGCCGAAGCTGGCTGTATGTAACAGTCCGTCAAGACGACTCGTCCAGGTATGTCCAGATATGTCCAGGATATGCTCTAACGAGGTCACACAGCGCCGCAGGTAATATATTCGAGTGACGTATTGCCAAATCCGTTGGTGGCACTGTTTTGTTAAAAGAAAGAATTATAGTTATATTCGGAATCGTATCAAGTAAATGAAAGAATTTTTAGAGCAATCAAAGTTGGACTTGACAAGAATGAAAATGTTCAAAATCGAATCGTTGATGGGTTCGTGGGGGAGAACCGACGAGTGTGGAGGAGATAGTTTGCTTGTGTGCCGCGCGTAGTTGAAATTAAACCCCTGTACAAATGTTGGATGGCCAGCAGTCCAGGTTTCTGTGGTTGTATATATGTTAGGTAAGGTAGTCAGTCAGGTAGTCAGGTAGTATAAGTAGAATATGTAGTAGATAAGCTGTTCTCGTCTAGTTTCCTCTCGAGGAAGCGGAGAAAGACTTGGCTAGACGTTGGACGACAAGGACCTAAGGTATTAGACCCGAATCTTTGAGTTGTCGTTGGTGAACCTTGGCTTGTCCCGCTAAGACCTGGGGGTTTGAAGCGGTTTTGAGTGGTGGTGGCTTTTGGTAATGATGAAAAAGACGGGGCGGATGAACCAGAAACAAGACTCTATTACAAGGATCTTGATGCGGGTTCTCATGCCAATACCATGTCAGTACCAGGTCCCCAGCGCCAAATTCCTGTAGATTGGGCGATAAACGACGACTGAGCAATCAACGAGCGAATTTATGTGAAATGGGTCAAGTTGGGTTAATGCGACTGGCGACTTGCGAGTTGCTAGTTGATATTTAGTTACCAGTCGGATGTACGCAGAGAGATAGTTGTCGTATTATGTGTACTATCTTCTGTATGTGTATTAACTAGGACCAATAGTTGCCTACGCGCATGCGCCAAACGAATGCGTGGATGCGTGGGCAGCAGATATAAAAGATTTTGTAACGAGCAAGTTTAAGGCAGAGAGGTACAGAAGGATAAGTTCAATATCGAAGTATCAAAGTATCGAAAAGGTGGTTAGTGGGGGTTGCCCGCTAAACATAGGTAGGTACCTAAGAAATATAAGTCTCCAAGTTAAGGTCTCCAAGTTTATCAAGACCGGCCAGAGCTTAGGACATAGAAGCTGCCCCCCCCCCGTAAGATAGGTAACTATTGAAAAAAAAAAGTGTCAGGTGGGTGCCGGCGAACGTTGGCGTAGTTTCGGATTAGAAAATGAGACGGATTGTCTGGCGGTTAACAACGGATAATGAAGACAAACCGAGATAGTAAAAAAACTAGGTGAGCCTGTAGGAGGGCTTTTTGATATATGCTAGGAAATACGAAAAGGAAAAAGGCATACCTA